GAGGATCGGTATTTGGCAGTTACTGCCAAAAGAAACAGGTGGAGCACAGCCTGAGACCTGCCTCGTCAGCTCTCTTCAGCCACTGGTACGACAATTTCAAGGCAGACCGTGTACAGACGCTTAGGGCAGATTGGTTTATATGTTCGTAGACCTGTCAAATGCGTTCCACTTACTGCAACTCACTGTCGCCTGCGGTTAGCCTGGAGTAGAGAGCATGCATTGTGGACACCGCAACAATGGGCTTGTGTGATGTTTTCCGACGAGTCCAGGTTTAGCTTGCAGTCTGATTCTCGCTGGACTTTCATATGGAGAGGTCCAGGTACCCGTTACCACCAAGAAAACATCATTGAACGACACCGTTACGGTGGTGCAGGAGTGCTTGTTTGGGGTGGAATTAATCTGGGTTCCAAAAACTGACCTGCATGTTCAAATTGGAACCATGACAAGCCAAATCTATCAAGGATGTCATTCTGGAACAACATGTACATTTGTTTCGGGGCACCATGGGTGCACGATTTGTGTTTATGGATGACAACGCCCGTCCTCACCGTGCAAACATCGTAAGCGAATGCCTTCAATCGGAGGATATCACCCGTATCGACTGGCCAGCATTCTCACCAGACTTGAATCCAGTAGAGCACGTGTGGGACATGCTTGGCCGGCGAGTTGCAGCCCGTCAACCTCCTCCTACATGTCTACCGGAACTTCGGAGAGCATTGCTTTTTGAGTGGTGTAATATCCCCCAAGATCAGATTGATAATTTGATACTCAGCATGCCTAGGCGTTGTACGGACTGTATTGCATCATCTGGGAGACATACAATGTATTAACAATCATACCAATCATGTAATATTGTTTTTTTTTTTTTTTTTTTTTGTAAACATTTTTTTTTTTCTTGTCATTTGCTCCAGGGAGGAAAAAATCGCTATTTTTTTTAATAATATCAAACATATAGCATCTTTTTTTGCTCTTTACCTTTTGTTTAATAAATAAGCTTTACAAATAAGTCAAATTTGTTTTGCTTCTAACTCTTCCTTTGCCTGATTTTGCATTATCCTTAATTTATGGACATGAGTGTATATCATAAGTACAGAAAGTTCTTTCAATTGAAGCAGTAGTAAGAGAATAGCTACATAATTTAATAAGGAAGTCGCAGAAGACTGTGGTTTTTCCCCCCTTCCCAATTTTACAGTGTTTTACCTTTTTTCTTTAGTTGGAAAATATTGGAAAAATATCTTCTGAAAAATTGAAATCTCAGATAAGTAACACTTGACGCAACTTTTCCCGCCATTTTGAATCAAGAAAAATCACCATATCCTCGGGAAGAATTGCTTGATGGCAAGAGGGAAAATGGCACCAAAACACACTTTCCAAAAATTCTCTCTTCAGCCCAATTTGGGAAGAAAAGGTGTGGTGGACGAAATTCACGTAAGGCAAAATGTTGCGCTTGCATTCAGAAGGTAAACACATAGTTATATCTGTGATTAAATAAATCTACATACTTTTTTCATCTTAGTATTTTAGATTATGATATATACAACTCCAGCTTCATTAACTTCTATACTTCTCTTTTTTTAATTCTTACCATTAATTCAAACAATTATCTATAATAATGGTTATAGATGTTTGAAAACATGTTCTTCATTATAAATGCAGTAATGATCACGAAAATGCAATATATGTCACACAGATGAAAGATGATGAAAAAGTTTTAAAAAATAAAATGATGAAAGTTTTAAAATTTTCATGTATTTCCACAACAATATTACATCCTCGAAATGTATTCCAGGCTATTCAATCATCATCCAGTCCGGATTATATTGGACATTCCTGGTTCTTTTATACACATAATTTCACTTAATAAGGTTAGGAGGGTTAATTTTATTCTATTTGTTCTTGTTTAAGTGTGAAAACATGTAGGTAAGCAAAGAAACGTAATCCTGAATAGCATAAATGCAGGTAAACAAGATTTGTAACAAGCACTTTCTATGGCTTTTCACAACGTTATACAGTTGTTTAAATTTCTGAAAGAGAGCAATAAAATAGAATAGGATAAGGGTAATTAAATTTGTCTATATTTATTTCATGAAAAGTTAAGCCATAAAATATTTTTTTGCACTTTAAATGTTGTCTATAACAGTGGTTTCAAATTGGCGGCCCCCGAAGCAATTTTATGCGGTTGGCTAATGTATTTTAGTTATGCATTTGCTGCAAATATTTCTATGTTTTACTTATTTAAAGTGAATTTACATTACATTCATTACTATTAAACACGATCATGAGTAACATGTCAGAAAAATCTATAAATATAAATCTTAATGAAAGATTTGAAGGTACAAATTTAATTAACTTTATTATTATTATTATTATTATTTTGAAAAAATAAAGCAACTTTTGCTCATCTTTTGGCTAATGATTTAGATTTTTTTTTTTTACTGATATACAACTTTTAATCCACAAAATCCTCTATATAAAGAAATCAGTGAAATATGCTTGATGTAGACAAACAGCAGAATAATGTTTGTTTAATATTTCATACTAACTTATTAGCATTTCAAAGTCTGATTATTATTTTATGGCATTTTTAATACTTATATTTGAATATAAATTTGATTATCAAGAGTTAAAAAACTGCTTTTATGATACAGGGTGTCTTTCAGCGGCCTAAGAACAGTAAAATTGTTGCACACTTGTAGTTTGTCTTAGAGTCAAGCCCCGGTTAATGGGTTTCTCTCTCCTTAAGCAAACAGCCTGAGAGTGCTTTTGATATACTAAATAATCCTAATCCTATTTATACATGGACATAATTTGAAAAGAGGCATTTGGTTAGATTAAACAAATGACTTCCATAAACTAAAAATTATTTGTATTAGAAGTACAATTAATTTATTTAGAAATTAATTCCTGTTTGTTATGGCCAGATTGCTACATATTTAAATGTTAAGTAGATAATTAGAAAAATTTTTCATTCTAATTAGAAATTATCTGGAAATATGAGTGATAAGATAGAAAAAGAGTATATTTTATTCTGATTAGAAGTGCTATTAATTTATTTAAGTCTATAATAAAAATTTTAGAAAATTTTTAAATTAATTTATTTAGAAATTAATTATATGTATAATTAATGTATTATTAATTACACATGGAATATGAACTATAAGTACGGAAAAGGAGCATTTTTGTAATTTTCTTATATAAAAATAAAATGATCTTATTCTAATTACAGGTGTAATTAATTTATTTAGAAAAGAATTAAACAGCAAATTCATATCATCTACTGACAAAGTCATGTGATCACCAGCACAAAGATTTATCTGCAAAGTCACAACACCCAAAGCAAAGTATTTACATATAGAAAGAAAATATCCCTTTTCTTAGTCAACATCTGAGCTAGCAACCTAAACACTCTTCCCACTGTTTGGTGCCTATTGTCCAAGTTGGCAAATGCGATTTCAGGAACCTCACCAAGTGCCGGTTATCTGAGTATCCTCATGAAATCTGGTGAAGTCTCTGTATCTTTTATTTTCAGTTTTAATCATACCAAGTCTCACACAATCCTCTAATTTTTGTTTGTTTTCATTCTAATTCTCTAGTTAACCATATCTTTATTACCTTTAGATACTTAGCAAAATATGAAACTTCTCAAATGCTTATCTGCTGTTGACAGAATTGATTTGGTTGATGAACTGAACTTTGAAGAAGGTTAATATTTTTAAAAACGACTTTACAAAAATGAATTTGTTTTGAATAAAATTTAGTATAATATATCTAATTCATAGATCATTCTTGCTGATGCTCCAGTCTTATTTAATTAAATTATTGAAGATTATAAGTTAGGCTATTTAAATACAGCAAAGCACACAAGGCCTACCTGCCTAAGAAGAGGGATGCCTCCATGGGAAAATTTCTACTGGAAACAGACTGGTTTTCATGTCAGATAAGTAATTAAAAAAAAAAAAAAAGATGCAGACAAACCCATCGCCTAGAATCAAACCTTGGTTGAAATCCCAGTTTTCAGCAAACTGGTGAAGCATGAAAATTAAAATAAATATTTTGAGCATTCTTCTTGTGAATTCCACATTGTACACTTTGAAATCTACGGCATTAATCCACCATTTTTTTATAGCCAAGCATGAGCACTGTTTATTTTTAAAGAACTTCTGCATTTCTACACATATTTCATCAATTATTTTACAAAATTTTTTTAACACACGAATTTAACACATACACTACACATCCATACGTAAAAAGATCAGAACAGCTCTTATTGAACTCTAGTTTTGTTGCTCATTACACTTAATTTCTTCCCTTTATTAGCATAAACTCATAAAACAGTTTTTTCAAACTTCTCCATTCTTCCTGCAAGCCGCTTTCATAATAAAATCTTCGCCGAGTTAAAAAACACTGTGAACAACAATTAACAAATGAAGCAGACAACATATAATTTGAATAAATGAAAGAAGAAACAAATAATTTGAATGGAAATGTGGTTAAGAAGTTATGACATTTAAATACACACGAGATATGCATCATAAAGTGAAGCATTCTAGTCCTTCCTGATAATACATTTAATAAGCGTACTTACCACCGCATATATAAATCATAGGAGTTTTCGGAGGGTCTTTAGATTCCATTTTGCTGATGATTTATACTAATAAATAATACTAACAACTATCCTGTATCTTCAGAGCTACCACGAATTTCTTTTATTTTTCGTACAGTTCAAAAGTTCAGTTGTTAGATCTTTATGACTCGTAGCTGAAAAATATGTTTCTTTTTTCCCTTAAATGAAAATTTTAATTTAAATTCTATCAATTAAATAAAAAATAAATAAAATATAAATCATTTATTTTTATAAATTCTCATATATTAATTAGTAAAGTAGAAGGTACAGAAAATGTTTCAAGAGTTTGCTTTCTTAATTTTAACATACTGCTTGTTTGAGAGATTCTTTGGTTTCTATGACAAAAGACTTAGCCAGTGCAAAACGTTACATCTGTCTGCTGTTCTGTTTTGTCTGTCTGTAGACCATGTGCTAAAGTGTAAAAGAGTTAATTTGAGCAAAACATGGCTCGTTTCGGAAAACAAGCGAAAAAAGCTAATAAAAAGGCAACCAAAGGAAAAGGAAAACTATGGAAAAAGGGCCAAAGTGCTAGTTATAATCCTGAATTCAATAAACATAGGCAGGAAGCTAAAAAACGTGTTGTATTTGGAAATCGGAGTGAGTATAATTTTGAATGTTTAATGTAAAATTTTATGTCAAAATGTTTGCATATGCATAATCATCGTTACTAAAATTTAAAAAAAAAAATTTTTTTTAGCTGAAGGAAGTTTAACTGAAGCTAAATTGTCTCTTCACAATAAACTGACTACTGAAAGTCAGTATGATGATATTGAAGAAGTTATGAGTATAGGAGGTGATACGGCCTTAACTGCTTTTACAAATTGTTCTCTTCCAACTTTCAACAGGTAAGTACATTATGTTTATTCAAGATAAATTGTGTTTCACAAATCCTAAGAGATCAGCAGTAAAATTCATTATATTGAAAGAGGCCGAAATAAAGATGAATAATATAATAATTCAGATAATAAATAAAATTCAGATAGGCAGTGGAATACAAAATTTATGCACTGTGTCTTTGAAGATCTTATAAAAGTCAAAATAAATAAGTGAAAGATAATTTTTGTGCAGTATGTAACAAAGAATTAATTCCCCCCCCCCAAAAAAAAATTACATGCATCATGTGATCATAATTTAAGAAATATGTGACAATGATCAATTTTTAAGTCATGCAATCAAAAAAAAAATTATTTTTTGGATAAAAGAGGGAATAATTAAATTGAAAAGTAGACATAAGGAGTTGTTATTAATTAAGGTTAGAATTTACTTTTTCAAGTTCTTTATCTCAGTATATATAGTTTCATAAAAAGAATGGTTGTTGTATGGAATACAAAAAGCAAATATAAAAATTCACAAATAAGGACACATGTAATTATTTCAATCAGTAGTATATAGTATTTCATTCTTAGTTAAAGTGAATAGAATTCTACAAACATTAGCTCTTTTAATACCAGGACCAAATAACTGCCAGAAAAGAAAAGCAAGAGCCTTCAAACAAGCTTCTGCTTATAAGCCTTTCATGAAAATTTTTCAGTGCATTGGTAGTAAAATAAAATAGAACTTTGTAATTTAAAAAAAAAAAAAAAAAAATTCAGTATGAATGAAACCTTTGTCCTAAAATAATTTAATCATGATTGCTTACTATTCCATAACTGCCAAATCATGTAATCTACATTAATTGTTTCTCAAAAAAAAAAAAAAAAAAGGAGGGGGTTCAAGAAAGGACCTGTAAAAATGGGAAGATGTTGAACTCTCCTATAAGATCGAATAAAACAGATGTCTTTTTCCATTAGATAGAGTGATCCAAAAATTGCCCTAAGATTTCATTAACATCACATTGTTGTTGTGCTTTGTTTTACTTCCTTAAATCATTTCAATGATGAATAAAAATTTCAGCTAAGTCATAGCCATTAGGATATCAAGAAAGTTTCTTGTTGAAATGATTTCTGAATTTCATTTCTCTTATTGCTGTGAAAGGCGAAACAGACATTTCCTTTGTGTAGAATGTGGAAAGACAATTCCTTTGGATTTTTGCAGTATGTTTTAAAATACATTGTTTAAAATTTACTCTACGGTACCCCTTCGCGAATCGTCTCTTTTTTGGCATTGGTGCTGATCCTACAAGATGGTGCCAATGCTACTGCCCGCTACACAAAACCAAAAGAAGAGTCAAAGACTTACACAATTTTGGTGTCCATGTACACATCAACCTATTTTACCTTGGAAAAAAAAATCAGATAATTGTACAAACTAGGCATTGTGACTGCTTTAACTTTGTCCATGTACAGATCGATCTATTTTAACTTGAACAAAAATCAGAAAGCTGAAACAAAGTTAAAACTATCATGTTAACCAGAAAAAAATTAACTCTTGTCCAACACACAGAAATGAACAAATAACAAAAATACACGAACAGAGAAACAACCAAAAATACATATTTAATATTAAACAACAAATATTTTAACAAAAATTAACACACACAAAAGAATAAATAAATGGAACGTTAATTTTTTAACATACCTTTTTTTTTTTGCATGTATAAGTTCACGCTTTCCCCACCTCCTCCATCCTCCACTAAGTAATTCAGTTAAATTTTTGGTCGCTTTGGCTCATCCGCTGTAAATCAACATTCATCCTCTTACCCACTTCAGACATATTCAAATGATAGTACCCACAGCAAAGTAATACAGTCAAAAGTCTTTAATTCGGAATGATCTATAATCTGGACATCAAAGCTACAAACTTTCTGCGCATGCGCATAATACCTTTACGCATGCGTATATGCATTTACGCATGCACGTATAATGGATGGTATATGCTAAGCTAAAATTATCTAATTATCTGTTTCAGTTAATGTTGCATATTGCGTTGTTCCTTAATCTTCTAATTTCCGGCTTATTATTTTTTTCAACTGTTAGAGCAATTTTATAAAAGTAAGCTTGAACTTTCAATTATGTCAAAAAGAATTTCCGGTTAATCTTTGGATTATGGTAACTTGGCGAAAATTTGGCGACAAACTCTGCTACAACAACCCTCTATTTTTTTTCCGCCGCCATTTTGTCTTAACGAGTAAAGACATTTTTTCTTTTTATTTATCAACACTTTTCCAACATCTGCTAGACGAATTACACTTATGCTAGAAATTTTATGGAACAAAACTGCTTAATCATGACAAATATTAACTGCAAAATTGGAAAAAGTGCAGAATCGCAAACTCTTGTCGCATTTTCAGAATCGCACATACACAGTAACCATGTACACGTCAACTTATTTTTACTAAAAAAAACATCCCAGAATTGCACAAAAAGGCATTGCGCACCTCTTGACTTTATCCATTGCACTGCTATTTTCTCATAAATTACAAAAATTTGCACGAAAATGCAGGAAAATTTTGTGAATCTTTAAACTCTGTAAAAAACATATATAAAAGGACCTGATCGCGAAAATGATGTACCCTTCAAGGATGAACATTTCCATGTATAATAATAAAATATCCAAAAACTTTTACCTCTAAATTATCTATTATAAACGTCACCAACGATTTATAACGCAAACATGAAATGGTTACAATACTTAGTGTCAAGTATTTAAATTAGTTAATGCACGTTACTTCCACTGAAATGTATACCAATTGCTACAAAATTAATTCACAAATAACTATCATTAATTAAATGATTAAATCATGTACACGTCGACTTATTTTTACTTAAGAAACATCACGAATTGCACAAAAATGAATTGTGCACACTCTTCTATATCCATGTACCTGTTTTTCCCATAAATTAGAAAAATTCACGAAAATGCATGAAAATTTGTGAATCTTGAATTTGGAAAAGACATATATGAAATTACATGATCGCCGAAAAAGTATATCCCTTTCCAAGGATAACATTTGCAATATAAATAAATAAAATATCCAAATTTTCCCTCTAAATTATTATTATAAATGTCACCAACGAATTTATCGCAAACATTAAAAATGGTTGCAATACTTAGTGTCAATATTAAATTATTCCATGCATGTTACTTCCACTGAAACGTATACCAAATTACTACAACGTATAATCACAAAAATAACTAAAGTTAATAAATATAATAAATTAAAAAACACTAAATATAAATAAGAACATACAAAATTCATAAAAATTATTACAATCCTAATTATTTAAAACTAAATATTGCTAATAACAATTTTCCAATAATACCATATAATTTTTACTCCTTACATTTACAATGCATAAAATAATACCTCAATAAAAAATACTAACTACCTAAATCCCAAATCTTGATTACGTGGCGATAAACTTTCGATTTCCTCCACTAAATAAGAAGCAAATTCTCTTTATCATAATGCTTCAAAAGGGTGCTTTTATAGCACTCCAGTGCCCTAAATATTCGTATTGCGCCTGTTTCAGAATCTTTAAAATATACTTATGTTCACAGCAAGATGTTGAAAACCCTTCATCCACCAAACAGACATATGACTCCAGCAATCAGATATTATTATTGTACCAGTAGAATACTGCTTAATAAAACTAATAAGCAATCTTACTTATCTCGCACAACCTTAAAAAAAACTCTTATACTACCCTTTTCATCACTAAATACCATTTCGATTCACTTGGATAGGGCCATGGGATCCCAAAATTAACAACACTGTTTCACACAACACAGAATGAAGCTAAATACAAAATACTATAAAGTACTTGCAGATATTTTTCCAGATTTTCCCCCTTTTCTGATTAAAGAACTGTAATTCGTCCATTAATGTCACATAACATATCTATGATCTCTCTATCCTCACACGAAATAATGTGTAATCGGAAGAGTACGTCTACTATTCAAGCCTAGGTAGTACCTTATGCCTACCAAAGTCGCCAATACTGTTACCATATTCCAAAATTACCGAATCGATCTGGAGCTGCCAAGAGAAAGCTGTTCGAAGTCCATCAAACAAAAAGTGGAATTGCTCCAAAAAATGATAAAGGCATATCCTTTTTTTTAACCGTTCGGAAATCTGTTTATCAATTTCACGCTGCTTTGCGCGGGGGGGGGGGAACGTGGCGGCGCGCAATGAACTGGAAGTTGATATGTCAACATTATCGTTATCTTCAGGGCAGATGTTTTTATTTTATTCGGCTTATAATTCCTTATTTATAGTATTTCATCTCAATGTACTTCGTCTTTGATATGATTTAAATCAAATTCCTGGTCATTACAAATATCACGAATACAAATTAAATAGTTTTCTGGTTGCAATTTTCTAATTTCGGCTATGCATAATGTATGCTTTACGCATGCGCGCGTTGAAAGAAATGTTTAATAAAGTAAACAAATAAATATTAAGCTTTTTTTTTTGCAAATTTTGATACCCTTTAGATCATAATTGCTCATTATTTTATAAATTACTGTTTTATATTTTTAATTTTATAATTTCTGCATGCCATCTTACCAGATTTAAAAAATTGATGATCTATAATCCGGAAAAATCGATAATCTGGAATCGCCGAAGTCCCAAAAATTAAGTCTAAATTTATCATAATACGTTTGGCGATATTCGCAGAAATAATCCCTTTTTATGACAAAAATTAAAAAAACCCACAATTTTCCCCAGCTAGTTTCCCACTTTATCAACATTGGTTTGAAAAACCTATTTCAGGAACAAGATTTTTTTCAGACAGAAACCAAGGGGGGCTGATCTTTAGAATATGGTAACTGGTAGTTTGGCGACATTTTGGAGGCGATAAAGATTACTAACTGGGACTTTGGTAATAAGGTGAGCATTACTCAGTCCGATTACGCATTATTTTGTGTGAGGGAAATGAGAGATTGGGATATGTCATGTGAT